ACATATTATCTCACTTGATGATGCTTATAATGACAGCTAACCTTCACACTGGTGTACCCAAATTCTTGAGACTTTTAGGACAACCTGTGGGATGCTTTAAGGTTTGACAAGTTCTTTGTTCTCTCATTAGATCCTCACAACAACCCTATGATATAGCTGCTGTTATTTTTTTTCCATTTGATGGATAAAGAAACTGAGGGTAAGAGGTGAAGTAACTGATTCAGGGTAGTCTGAGGCAAGATTTGAACCTGAGGTCAGCACTTAATCCACTGCTTTGCTGCCTCTTCTTTTTTTTTTCATTTTTAAAAATGAAAAAAAAATTATTTTATTTTAAATTTTTAAAATTTATTTTGCTGTCCCTATGGTCAACAATGTTCTCTTTTTAATGCTAATCATGAGTCTGTATAAGATCATAGATCGAGAGCTGGAAGAGAATTCAGAATTCACCCTTTTACAGATAAGAAAACTGAGACCCAGGGAGCTTACATAACTTTCCCAAGGTCACACAGGTTGTAAGGATCAGAAACAGGATTTAAACCCAGGCTGATTTGACTCAAAGCAAGGGCTCACAACACTGCCAGGACCATACAAAAAATTACCAGCATATCTATTGCTTAGGAAGGCATAGCTGTGCTCAAGGACAAACAATGGGAGTTTTACTGTCTGTCACTGGCATCACCTGAAAGAACCCAGATGGAGGGCGTGAAGCAGTGATAAACAGGACTGCTAGACTTGGAGTCAGAAGAGAACACAGTTAAATTCTTAACTCTGACAGCTATGAGTCTGCTATCTTGGTCAACCAAGTCATTGAACTTCATTTTTCACTAAGCTGTACTCACTATGGACATCTCCATAGTGCCCCAGAAACCTCTTCATCTTAGGAGATCACTTCAGCCCTAGAACTCAGACCTCTGTGGCCCCTCCCTCTGACTGAATGGTTCCCTTGGAAATCCAATATAAAGATGGTGCCCAGGCCACTCATCTCATTGTTTCTCACTAGGCTACCCTCACTATGGACTCCTTTATCATGCTCTAGAAACATGCTGGAAGACCCCATGTCCCAGTATTCTCCGTCCCCTCCACTCCTGCCAGCCTTCCAGCTTTCTTCTTACACCTATCCCCTCCACTACCACCTCCCATTTCTAAGTTCCAGACTGTCTTTTTGTTTGTATTTGCATTCCCAGGGCTTGGTACAATGTCTGGCACATCGTAAGTGCTTAATAAATCCTTGCTGACTAACTTCTCAGTCTCAGTTTCTTTATCTGAAAAATGGGGATAATAGTACTTGCACCTTTCCAAATCTTAAAGTACTATATAAGTGTGAGCTGTTATTTTATTACCCTTCACATGCCCAAGGTGAAACCTAATAATGATAATAGCTAACATTTATATAGTGTATTAAGGATTGCAAAGCATTTTTACATATACTATCTCATTTGGCATCTTCCTATTCAGGAATTTCTTTGAATGTTGAGAGACAAAAGCACTGTCTGATGAAAGAAAAAGAACCGCTGAACACATTTCCTGAGGCAGTTTCTAGGTGGAAGTTCTCCAGGACATTATCCCACACAATTTAGGCAGCTTTCCTTCTAGTATGATTTCCTAGGAAATTTGTCTTTAGATAAACAAAATGTAATCATCCTGCTCTGCACAGAACAGCCGATTAAAGATCTGATTATGGACCATCACTCTTTATCCACCTTTTATGGTTCCCCTGAGATCAGCCTGATTTTTTTTCAAGGCAAATTGTATAGAAATATTTTAGTCACCCCATTTGCACAGTATTTTCCTCTACATCAAGAGCTTTTTGAAAGAGATCCCGGGCTTGAAATAATGCTACGAGTCTGTGCTTTCCAATTTGGCTGACTCCCTAACTAGATGTTCCAGACAATAGCTCAGCTGAGACACACTAATTTTCAGAAGGGCTCAAGTGTTAACAGTTCTCAAAGAGGAGGGTGTGTGTCCGCCATTTTCTTCAGAAGGAAGCAGACATGGTAAGGACAACAAATCCGAAGTCACCGTTATAAGAGTAATTTTAGAAAGAATTCTGTTCCTAAACAATAGTGCTCATAATGAGACACAGTCATTGGTAAAAAGCCTCTGGCCAACATTCTCATTTCTTTATAATTGTTTAACGTGTGGTCAGAGAAAAATGAATCATATAAGCAGTGCAGCAATTAAGAAAATTATTTTTCACTGGGAATCACAAGCCCAAATCCTTCATATTGAATTTACTTGCAATAACCCATCCATCATAACATCTGAAGTATCATTAATACTTAATCTTCTCAAGAACACAATTTGCCCTTAGGCTTCAAAGGCAATTTACATATTTTAATTATGTCACAGGCAGTTAGGTGGCACAGTGAATAGAGTGCCAGGCCTGGAATCAGGAAGATCAAAGTTCAAATACAGCCTCAGACGCTTACTAGCTGTGTGACCCTAGGTAAATTACTTACCCCTGTTTGTCTCAATTTCCTCCTCTGTAAAATGAGCTGAAGGAGGAAATAGCAAACCACTCCAGTATCTTTGCCAAGAAAACCTCCAAATGGAGTCACTAAGAATCGGACACAACTGAACAACAAAATTATGTCACCAACACCCACCAACAATATTATCATATGCCAAGACATGGAGGTACAGAGTGTTTAAGTGTTTTGGAAATGTGAACTTCATGACCCAGTGTGAAATTAAAAAACAAACAAAAAACTGTTTGGTCTTCTATTCTGATGCCTAAGGCACATTACCCTTTAACTTGAGTTTTGTTGTTCTACTTAAAGTCAGAATTCTAACTGTCTCCACGAGGGCTTATCATTTTTTCAGATCAAAGCACAAAACATTGTGATCAGTCAGGAAAACAAGCTAACAAGTAACTAAATGTGCATATGTATGTGTGCTAAAGGTGGGGAGGGGATGGGAGCTGGAGAGGTTAGGAGTTGAGGGACAGAGGAAGAATACAGGAAGGGATGACCTATTGTTTAATTATAGTAGCCAGTATAGGAGTAGTGATAAGAAAAAGGCTAGTCAAGACATTTATGAACTAATCATTCAAGCCTGGGTAAAAGTGAGTAGCGTGGGCCACATGGTGGGAAACAACTTTTGATAAAACGATTAAAATCTTACTCGAAGCTCAGCTATCAATGGCAGTCTGCTACTCTTTCAATTCCCCCAGTGAGGCTGAGCAAAAAATTTCCCAGCAACAGGAAGAAAAGCTATATGTTGCCAGGAATTGTGGCACTGAGTGAGTACGTTTTCTGGGAGTTAACTGTGTTATTTATAGTGTTTGGTTAGCAACTGAAGACCTGGCCAAAAAATTGTTTTGCTTTTTTTGGAAGAAAAATAATGAAGCGTTTCAGCTATGAAGGAAGAGAGTGTCACATAATATAGGATAAAAGATCTTCTCCTTACTGGATATGTCCCAGTGCTGTTTCTGTTGCTAAGAGGCCCTATCCATTAAGAACACATGCTTGTTAGTCATAGTGACAGCAAAGTGCTAAAAAAATCTAACTTATAGAGTTCTGACAATAAGGTTCTCTCTCCTTGTTAAGCTCTAGCTATTCAAATCCACCAAAGTGGCTATAAAATTATTCATTTGTAACATTAGCTATGGTAAATGCCAAAATAAAGACCCCCCAAGAAATAGTCCTTCTAATATAACTTGTGACATTATGTCTATATTTTTGAGTGGACATTTTTTTGGTTTCTTGGATTTGCCAACAGAAACAGTAGATCAAAAGGGCAAGATTAATGTCTGAGCTGTTATCTGTTTGAAAATGAACAAAACGCAAGCTCGCTATGAAATGTACTGTGGAAAGAGGCAATAGCTCTGCAACTGACTCATTCTTTTCCAAATCAATTTTCAGGTACTTACTGAGTGCCTGTCACAGGAAAGGCACTGTGCTAAAAATGTTTCAGGGGACAGATATGACATAGGTCTTGCTCTCAAAGAATTTACTGTCTACGAAGGGGGTAAGACAAGAACTGAAATAAGCACAAAGCAGCTCAGCTAACACAAGGAGACTAGTTCTGTCACAGAAAAGTGAAGACCTTTTAATCCCTCACCAGTCTTGGTACTACTTACTACTACTTGGCACTACTCCTTTTGGCTCCACTTGACAAATCCCCTCAGAAACCTGAAAATTTCATTTACCTGGCACTCTCTCTACCTACCATGGAATAAGTGTACACCATTTTGCATTCTACATTTTTAAAATTCCCCCTTTGGATCCTCTATCTGTGAATTACTAAAATGTAGGGGCCATGACTGCTTTGCCCTCACTGAAGGAATGCTGGAGTATACTAGTTTTACTCCAAGTATTATATATGCACAAAAAGATTTTTCATTGTAAATGGTCTTGAAATGGGACAGGGCATAGGGATTGGAACTTTAATTTCACTGGTATGAAGAACTCTTGGATGAACAAGTACCTGCTACCAATGCAGGCCAGAACTTTTCTGCTACTTAGAATCTGGAAGAGACGCCCAGAGCACCAAGAACTTAAATGACGTGCCTCAAGTCACAGAACCAGTATTTGTCATAGGTGGAGCTTGACAGTTCTCAATCTGCCATTCCATGCCTCCTCTCTTCAAGAAAGTGGGATAAAAACTCAGAGGAGCTCCTCAAAGCTCAGGTTGTCTTGCAGGTGATCTTAATAGAATTTCATTGCTACTTAAATCCTGAAACTTTATAGATCTACACACGGAATTATTTTTATAATAACCACCATCAAATACAACAGTATGGAGATATCTTAACTGAGAAAACACTAACTTAAGCTTTATCACCAGCACTGGCTACATTAGAACTAGAGGCAAGGGAAATTCTCAGGTTTGGGTAGGAACGAGGTAGGCGTATATCTATACAGCAGTGACACTTACAAAGGTCAGTTCTATTAAAGATGGAGTATCAGGCAGAGAAAAGAGAAAAACAACAAGGTTTCAGAAGGTGACGCCATTATACTTTTAAAGAAAAAAAAGTGGTTGAAAAACTGTATACTTACTGTCCAGTCCAGGATGGCTAATTGTCATTAATGAGATGGACTTTGTCAACGGAGAAGAAATGGCCGATGTACAATAATTAAATCCCTGTTGCTTGGATCTCTGGCGTGGCTGTGAAGCAGAGCACAAGAGTATGTTCTGAGTACCAATGCTGTTACTTCCCATGACAATTTAGGGTTCAAACAGGGCTACTCAAAATTAATACAGTCAGAATATACTACAAATGGAAAATGAAAATGTTTGGAAGGAAATAATTCTTAATAGTAAATTTTTATTTATGCAAATGTAAAAATAAAAATGGCATATTTAGAAATGTCAACTTTCTTTTCTCTCTCCTTTATTTGCTTTACCCTCTACTAGCCTATAAATTGCATGAAGAGTTATTTATCATTTCTTAGAGAGAGGTTCCCTTAGGAAAAATCTTATTTCTCCTTTACTCTCTTCCTTTCCAATACCTAACACAGGGGCTTGAAGCAGTAAACCGTAGAGTAGGAGTCAATGAATAATGAATGGCCAAGGAAAACACTGTACCCATTTTAACTCAGATGTAATAACTATGACATATTAAAAATATATTTATTTATATACTCTGCTAGGCTAAAAAAGTAAAATTAAACAAGCATTTATTAAGCACTTAGTATGTGTCAGGGACGATGCTAGGTGCTGGGGGCACAAAAAAAGGGGCAAGCACAGTCCTTGTCCTCAAGGAACTAATAAATCAAATGGGATGGGTGGTAGAGGTGGTGGGGGGAGATAACAAACAGACACCTATGTACAAGTAAGATATATAACAGATAAACTGGAGATAATCTCAGAAGGAAGGTATTAAAATTAAGGAGGAAAGACTTCTTGTATAAAGAAGGATTTTATCTGAGACTTAGAAAAACCTTACAGTCATGTTCTTGAAACAGCATTTATTTGGAATAGGTTAAAAGCAAAGAACATCTTCATTTCATAGAAATTAAAAGTGAGGCACATGGAAGTTTAGAATGGCTTTGCTATTTTCATAAAGAAAGCTGAATCGGAAAATAAAATCTGAACCTCTTAATTCTATCTGAAAATTAGTCTGTGCTATCATGAAATAAAGTTAACTGATTTTGATGAGTTTCTAACTCTTTGGCAGAATCAATGAACGTTAGTATTGGAAAGTACCTCTGAAGTTGTCCAGTCCAAATTCTCAGACATAATGTAAGATTCTGTAGTATGACACCACTAACAAACAGTCATTCAGCCCCTGCTTATATTCTGGTAATGCAGAACTCACTGCTTTTTAAGATAGTCCATTCTATTGTTGGATGTTTCTAATTAAGGTAAAGTTCTTAGTCATACTGGGCCGAAATCTGTCTCCGTGCAACTTCCTCCCATTAGCAATCTACTCCACTCGACAGAAATAACAGAAATCCATTCCTTTCATTTCTCACAGAATATAACTCACCCTATTTATGTTATGAAATCTAGGACAAATTTAAACTATAGTTTATCTGAGAGGTGATTTTAATGAAAGTGAAACAAAGGTGTAATCAATACTGAACTTTTCTTAGAAGTGACTCAATCAAATGCACAAGGAGAGGGTGTAAGTGGCATAAGCATCCTTTGATAGTTAGATAAGAAAAGGCTGCCCCATTTGCCAATAGATAGTAGAGAGGGCCATGCAAGCCAAGATCAATAATTCAATGTAACTTCAATTTTTTTAAAACTAGGAGCCCATGTTAAAAAGGATTATACTTTAAGTATAATAGATATCCAGGGCTAATACAGTCCTTATTGAAAAGAGATAGTCACTCATCAACTTCATAGAAATATCCATTTTAGAAAAGGGATTGTAAGTAATAGTTAGGAAATTAAAATTTTCTAATTTCCTAACCCAATTATTTTTTCCCTTCATTTTTCTGTTTCTTATTATCACTAGGTCAAGTAAATACAATAAACTGTTTCAACTGAATATACTCAGAACCTAGCTTTACAAATACAGCTTTCAAAAAAAATTAAGACTATGGAATGTAAAAGAATAGGCAGAATCTTAAAATTATTTTAAATCTACAGATTGATTTTCAGTAGATACACTAATTTCTCTAAGGCTCTGCACATAACTGCATGTTCTTATTCTGAAGGCTACATTTACAAAATGTAAATGCAGGACCAAAGAATTATATGAAACCTTTGATCCTGGGCCTTTAAAACGCTTAAAAAAAATAAAATGAATCAAAAGTGCCGTGCACAAAAATTCAGGCACGAAGAGAAAGAATAGGTAATTATAATAGCCTCTCTTGTTTCTGATTTTACTACTCAACTAAAACTTTTCTCTGCAAATTTTCTAATAATCTATAATACTGAATCTGATTGTATTTCCTCAGTCCTCAATCATCTTGACTTCTCTATAGCATTTGGCAGTGTTAGCCCCTTCTCTTCTCTCTTCTCTGGTGTTTCATGACACTACTCTCTCCAGTTCTTCTCCTACATAACTAATCACTTCTTAACAAAAGCTCTGTCCTGAATCTACTTTTCTCCCCCTATACTCTCTTGGTGACCTTATCAGTTCCCATGGGTTTAATTATCATCTCTATGCAGATAATTCTCCTGAGCTCCAGTCTCATATTACCTACAACCTATTGAATATTTCAAACTCAACATGTCTAAAATTGAACTCATTATCTTTACCCTCTTTCAGTTTCCCCTATTTCTGCTGAAGGCACCAATATCCTTCAAGTTTCTCAACTTCATAATCTTGGCATTATTCTGGATGCCTCACTTTCCCTCATCCCACATATCCAATCAGTTGCCAAATCATAAATTCAGCATTACTAAAACAGAAATCATTACACCCCATCCTGCTCCCCACCTCCAACCCAGACCTCTTCCAAATTTCCTTATTTCTGTTGATGACACTATTTTCAATTTCCTTCCTATTGCCAAGGCAACCTTACCATTTTCCTTGATTCTTCACTCTCCCTTACCCCACCTCCATATATGTAGTCACCTGCCAAATCTTGCCACATCAACCTCCAGAGTATCTCCTGCATCTGTCCTCTTCTCACTAGTCAAAATTTTATTTAGAGGCAGCTAGGTGGTACAGCAGATAGAGTGCCAGGCCTGGAGACCAGAAGACTTATTTCCCTAAGTTCAAATCTGACCTCAGATACTCAATAGCTATGTGACCCTCCTCAAGTCACTTAATCTTACACTCTATATTCAAGCCAAACTACCCTCCTTCTTGTTCCTTATAGATGACACTACAACCTCTATCTCCGTCCCTTTATACTTGCTATTCCCTGTGAGTGGGATAAACTTTCTCCTCATCTCCACCTTGTAAAATCCTTCACTTCCTTCAAGATTAGAAAAAGTCTTTCTCAATCCCCGCTAGTGCCTTTCCTATTTATTTGTATATACTTCTGTACTGTGTGTATACTTTTGTATATACTTTTGTACTTTTTATGCTGCTTCATCTGATATAAATTCCTTGAGAGAAAGGACTATGTCCTTTTTGTCTCTGTATCTTTGCCACCTGGCAGCTAGTAGGTACAAATAAATGCTTGTAACCGAGTCTCTTATTTAAATTAATAATGTTTTATTGGTAGGGTGAGTGGCACAGACAGTCCCCATAATTCTTACACTAAAACAAAAACTGTAGCTTTTTAAGCTGTGGAGAGTATAGTGACGTAACCACAAGCCAAGAAGATCAAGAGTGTAGACTTTTAAAAAAAAATCAATGTCAAAAACTGTCTTTGCGTGTAATTGAGGAAAAAAATAAAACGTTATTTAAAAAAAGAACATGAACTTAAAGCTCCCAAGTCAGAAACAAGTCAACAAACATTTATTAAGCATTTACTATATAACGGGTATGCAAGAAGCTATGTACAAATAAGACACACAGAAGATGAATTAGAGGTAATCTCAAAGGGAAGGCACCAGCATTCAGGGGAAAAAGGAAAGGCTTCTTGCAGAGGGTGAGATTATAGCCTAGACTTGAAGGAGGCCAGGGAAGCCAGGAGATGGAGAGGAGGATGGAGAGATTTTTGGCCCAGAGGTCAGCCAGTGAAAAAGTAAAGTCAGGAGAGGGAAATATAAAGAGAGGCCTTGAACAAATAACTTAATGTTATAGTACCTGTATTTTTTACCTCCTACTTGGAGGGAAAGTAATTACAGGATGATGAAAAACTAATAACGGTTTCTAAAGCACTTTAAGGCAAAAGAAATGAGCCTCTGAGGTGTGAAGAATTACTACCATATCTGGTGGTGAGGGAAGGCCTCCCAGAGCAAGGAGAGATAGCCTTAAAATCATAGCCACTTTCCTAATTAAAGGAGACCCTGACAGGCTACTCAACTATATGTAAATTACAGCCTAGAGTCACCATAATCAGCAAGTTTTAATGTACTGGGTTCTATCAAGTAGAACAGAAAAAACTCTTATCCTTAGGTAGCAAGTCTCCTTCCCATTTTGGTCCCCACTATCGAGTTAGCTTTGGAGTAATAAAACACATATTCCTAAATTATCTTCGCAGAGCTAGAAACAGTCTTACCTTATGGTCAAACATGCTGTGCTCTCTCTGGTCTGACTCCAAGTCCTCTTCTGTGAGTGACACCAAAGAGCCACCACGTTCCTCGCCACTGAAGGGGCTTCGCCTCAGCTCTTTTGAGCTTGCAGAGTTTGCATCCAAAGCTGAGGATGGCTTACTGCTATCCCCAGCTCCTCCAGATAGGCCTTCTAAACTGAAACTAAATGAGGTCACAAAAGTTAATCTCTGAACCTTAAAAAAGAAGACACCCAAAATGCATGTGCCATTGGTGGACACTACCAATTACCTTATCATTCTTTTGATGTTTGTTGGTATGTTAAGCACAAAACTAGACTCCAGAGGGTACCCCTCCAAAGCATTGGATAGGGTGCAGGATACCTCTCTGCACTCAAGTCTCCTAATTTGTTTTATTCCTTGTCTAATCCATCCAAAGCCATAAATAAAGCACTTAAAAAGGTATGGTTGAATGAAGGAAGCCCAATTCACTAATTTTTTGTTCGGCCAATAGAATTTATCTTTTGGTTCATAAAGTAGTCATTGTAAAAGAAGTTTTATATGGTTCAATGCATACGCTTTGTTTGGATCTACTGCCCTGTTCATAGGTAAGTTACCAAAAATGTGGACACCTGGTGTCTGTAACCCTCAGTAGCCAAACATGGCAATGTGGCTTTGTGTTCTAAGTGTATTACTCATAATCTAGAAATAACCTACTAATTTTTCAGACACAATTCATTATTGAGGGGTTACAATCTGTATCAATAAAGGGCATACACACCAAAAAACAAATTTAAAAAATCAGAGATATGCCAGAAATCATATAGATGATTTACAGTTTAGTTGACAAGCACTTGAACATAATAAATACATTTTTGTATTTCCTTCCCAAACAAAGATAGTATCGCTGAGGAATTAAAAAAAAAAAACCACACAGATCTGGCCAGCCAATAACAATGCTGTAGGCTTCCTGGGAACTGTTAGTTGCAGACAGACACATACCACCTTGAAAGCAAAAGCTGCTAATCACCTTTGGTAGAAAGTTATCACATTGGGGCTTTACTTTTACATTTTACCATTGGCAAAGGAGAAGAAAGATATACTTAGGAGTTTTGATATTCTGAATAGGAGTCAGGAGCCAAATATTTTATTTTGGGGAGTCCAGGATATTTTTTGTATCTAGAAAACATCTCATAATTAGCTTATTTCAAACTTCTTGAGAATGGGGAGAAAAGTAATTTTTTTTTTCCTGTGGACTAAGTCAGAACAATAAAAGAAATTCACAAAAAAATACAATGGAAACCTCATTAAGATAAATCACTGTGTCTGATTTTGTAGACAGGTAACTGACCAAAAAGTTCTAGATTAGAACTCACTGGATCTAGGTTTGATTTTGCCCAGGAATACTACTAATCAGGAATCACTATACTTAAACCATATGTGTATGTATACGCATGTAAGTAAAAGTTTACTAGCTGAAAAGTGTTTTAAAACAAATCATTTATCTTGTTACGTAGTCTACACTATCTAGAACATGAACCAATTAATTTTCCTAAATACCAATGTAATCATCACCAATGGCATTCTTACTAATATTCTGAGAAATGTAAATAGGCTGAGGATAAAAGTGGAGATACTGATTCTTCACTGGATGGAAATTTTAAAAGCTTAGGAATCTGTGGTCACCAGAAAGCTTAATTCTGATGTTATTTTGACAAACAGTTGGCTACTTATGAAGGAGAAAAATAGGTCAGTGGACTAGAGGTAAGACTATATGAAATTAAACGCCCATAAAAAATAAATGAATTTGGGAACAAAACAGAACCACATTTCATTTCCCTTCTTGGCTCCTTCTCACTGTTAATCTTTCAAACTCCTAAGGATCTTGGTGTTAGAACAAAGAAAAAAAAAAGCATTCTACCACGGCCACACCGATACATTTTTCTTAGGTAACACCAATTCTAAAGCCACTAAGGACACACAGATTGCATTTGACTAATTTTCAACTCCAGAGCCTCATACCTACAATGAGGTCAGCAATGCCAGGAAGAGAGGAACATACCCCCAAAGGAATGCAAGTGTTCATAGAAAAAGCAGGCTTACTTATACACATTCCAGCCATTGCAGAACTCCAAGCCAAAAGCCAAGACTTTGCCACATTTTACAGTGCCTCCATTTGGCTGCTGGACATGTAATGATACCATACCTTCTACAATTAAAGTCAGCACTCAGGGTAGCAGAGTATTGTACGCCAGAGGGACACCAGCTCATACTAGGGACATCAAAGGCAGAAAAAGAGAAGTGGGGAAAGACCAACGGTGTACAGACATTATTATATTGCAAAAGAAGGGAGGATAATTAGAGACAGCCTAACAATTAATTCTCAAAAAAGTCTGGGAAAGTTACATTATTTTAAAGATTTAGAAATTAGATAGACTGACAGACTTTGGGACTTAATTTCTTTACTGATCGCCCAAAGAGAAAAGCGTTGGCAACAATTGTGTAAGCTCCTACAAAGAAGTATATGAACCTGAACTATGGGGGAGAGATTTCAATTCTATGGCCATCACTTAAGGCTAAGAAGCAGCCCAATGACACAAAATAAGATTAGCACTTGGTATGCTGCATCTCACGAGGCAGTCATCCTGTTTTATAGGGTTTAATAAAGTTAGGATAGAATTTTTATTGCTGAGTAATAACTGACCACGCCACCACTCATTCTCATCAGACTAACTTGACATAAAAATTTCATATAATATTTACAAGACTTTTAAAAATTATATTATGACCTTTTCATAAAAAGGAAAAAAAAAGGAACCCTGTGTTTCAAATATGTCTGCTAAAGCTCAAGTGTGCTTCTACATCCTCCATGCAACCTTCCGCTAAAAATATTCTTTCTTTCACAAACGTAAAAGAGAATTTGATAAATTAGTAAGTTCCCATCCTAACCCAAAGAGCAGGGACAGAAACATGGTGATCAGAATTCAAAGCAAACATAGTAACAAGAATCAATGGTCAACTCAACAAATAAGTATTCAGTGAGAAGGCAAGTTAATTCAGTCTACCTGTCAAGTTTTTTTTTTTTTTAAAGAACAAATCTCAACAATTTTTTTAACCTTGAAGTTTCTAGGAATAATTCAGGAAGCTGTTATTTTCAAAAAAACAAAAACTGTTGGTGCCTGAGGTTTCAAAGGTCCTTTGAGTGACATTCCTGTTTTGGAAGGTAGATGGATATGGATAGCTCCCAAGTAATTGATCTTAAAATTCATTTAAAGAGAGAAGGGACATGAATACAACATATTCAGCCCAGATTTCTCACCTGAATTTTACAAAGGTAGGTGAGAAAGTTGGAATATGCTAGGAGCTACTGACCAAAGCTTCTGACGAAAAATGAATGATAGTGAATTTGTCTTGGGGAGTAATATTGAAGACAGGAAAGGGGTAGAGGCAGAAGAAGACAATATTGAGAGGAAGAAGAGAGTAATCATTTCCCTCACAACTCTGTGAAATAACTAAACTGAAATAAAATATATTTTAAATCAGATTAAAAGCTTGGGACTACAAAGGCCTCAATTCTATTAAAAAAGAATTAAAAAAAAACCTAGATGTAGGCTAAGTTTTAAGAATGAGGAGGATCTAATATTTCCTCTATGTACATAATAACTCAATCTCTGACATCACAAAGTGAATTTTCATCATCAAAACATGTTATTGCTGGAATTGGCGTATTCTTTTCAGGTATACCTCATTTAACGATAACAATACTCAATGACTTCAAAAGCTTGAGATATATGGAAAACCTTTAGGAAACTTTGGCTATTTTAAACCTCAAAAAGTATATAATTAATGTGCTGACATGTCACATGTTACAAGCTGAACTTACATACAAATATTTCATCTGTCTTTTTGCTATATATCAAATTCTTCCTCCCTTTCATGTCTACATATGATAGCTGGAGTTGCCATATTTGCAAACAGACTATATTCAGGGACCAGTCTCCTATGCTATAGCCAAGTTCTTAATTCACTCTTAATGAATGACTCTTTATAGAGAGGTTCCCTGACTTATGAGTCAGATAGGACCAAAAGTATTTGAAATAGCAGTAGGTCTCTCAAAAAATAAACAAAAAACAAATGTCCCATGGGAAAAAAAGGTCAAAGAAGAAGGTGTGTATTGACTAGCTAAGATAAAACTACAAGAGAAATTATTATAACCCAAGGATAGACTACTAGGAAAACTTAAGCTGTACATTTGGAAACAAACTTCATATATAAAACCTGGAATTAAAAGAAACTTTCATTTGAAAAGCATGGGAAAACATGAGTGTCAGTCTCTAAAGATGACTTCAGCTGAGTTTCAGAACATCTCCTTAAAAATGTTGGCAAACAAGCTTATACACTAAGATCAATATAACCACCCCTTTTAAGGAGCTTAATGTTTACCAAACACTAGTGGAAGATTCCATGAATTAAAAATTGTAGAGGAAATGTTGTTATATCTCCCTTTTAATTCTGCAAAGCCCAACAACAAAACCCAAAGCAAAGCAAACCAAAACCTACTCCTCTATTCCTAAAGCTGGAAATGTGAGAAGGCTGAAAAAAAACACCCTAAAACCCTGATAGTCTTTTTATTTTGTTTTCTTTTTGCTGGGCTTTGGGGTTCGGTGAAGAAGGCAGGTGAAAAGGAAAGAACAAGGGAAGAAAAATGGACATGAAAAACCACAGTGAAATAAAAACTGATCAGTGTTAGGCCTGGTGATTTCCGGGAGGGAATTATATGTAAAATTAGCTACAGGAATACAAGGTTGCCTATTCTCACTAGGTAGGTACTAATTTAACTACAATCTTCAAGCTTCGTATGGTCTTTGGGTTCTATAAGGGAAGCAAGGACCCTAATAAAGTTATTTTCTATACTAATAACTCATAGTAAGAGATAAGCTTTTCATTGAGGGGAGACAAAATTAGAATGAAAAAGACTTTCTTTTTATATTTAAAAAGCTCTTTCACATTGAATGACCATCGGTAGCAATAAAGGAAAGGTTCTCCGTTCTTGTAAGAGACAATTTGACTTTTAAATGGATTTCCTCTAAACCTGGATCAAGCAGAATGAGATGCTGTTGTTAGTACAAAGTCAAATGCAAAATGGTTAGTTAGTTAAGTTAGTGGACTCTGTACCTTCTCCTATGAATGGGAGGCCTCCTGACAACATCCCCAAGAACTCGCATTGAACTGAAAATGAATCACGTACAGAAGTCAGAGAATAAAGTGAGACAAAATGAATACAAATGCATGAAACATACACATACAAAACACAAACTAGGAAGGGGAACAATTCCAACAGAGAAATAGTGTATGAAATCTCAAAGGAAAAGAATGAGGATTGGGAAAGACATCCAAACCCAAAAGGCCTAACTTCTTTTTTTTGAGAACTATTTCACTCTCTCCTCAGGATGTGCCTGTGAAAGACAAATACACTCCAAAACTCCAAAATATTAAATAGATAATAATCAATGAGGCATGTTAAAATCTAAGGGTGAATGGTAAGAATGAAAAAAAAAAGCGCTCAACTGAACTTTCCAATTTTGAAAAAGGCTTAAAAATTCAGACTATAGCATGCGCATATAAATTTGTACCAATCAGGCAACCAAGCTCATCTACTGATAGTTAGGACCTAATTCCTCTGTTGGAGGCTGTTTTTAAAAATGAACACATTATTCAATCATTTAGAAGTATTCTTCTTGTCACAAATTCAGGCATTCAGCTTCTACCAGATCAAGTGATGCAGAAGTCTTAAAAAATCTCCTTTGTTTAGGATTAGCCATAGCTCCCTTGTTTTGAGAATATATTGTTCTTAGAAATCCTTTAACAGATTCAGTACCTTTAAAAAACCTCTCTCAATAAATGAGTTATGGACTCATCCTCAGTTACTTGTAAATCTACTTTTATTTGTTGTTTATCAAATAGATGTGATTATATATACACACGTATGAGTACAAATATATATTTATATATGTATGTATGTGTGTGTAAACACACATACACAATGTAGTTATAAGAAATTCCTACAGAACTATGCATTACCAAAAGCTAGTTAAGGGCATTAATATTCAGGAATCTGAGACTCATTTGGTTGTTGAGGAACATAGTGTTGATACAGTGCATTTAAAGAAAGACTAAATGAATTATTTTCTGTAAATATTTAGCTCTCATCAGAACTGAACAGAGTAAAATATAAAAATGACCATTAATCATGTCTAAACATGGAAAAATAATTTATATAATAAAATAACCTAGAACTATAACACTAAAATTATTTCATGCTGCTGAAATGTAAGGGTGACATAAAAACTTTAGATAAGCGCAAATAAAATGGTCAAGAGAACTGAAGGGCTTCCATGTGTGAAACACCTGCCCCCTGTCCTCAATAAGACAAAATTTTCAGTCTTCAAAGGAGGGACGTGGAGGAGGAAGGAGAGGGAATGATTATGATAAAAGTTCTGACTAGGATGAGCATGGCATTCTTCAAGTCCTAGAATAATGCAACAATGGAGTTCTCCAAAGCTTAAGAGAGACTAGGGCATTTTGAGGAAAAATTAAAGGAGATAGCACTTCATACAATTCACAAAACACACAATCTCCAAGAGCTGATGCTGGCTAAAATAACAAATACTTCAAGAAGGATTCAGATATGTATCTGAATAGTAAGTTCAGAAAAGTTTTTCTAAGTTCATAGATAATTCATTCTTATTAAAATACCAGGACAAGCAACTAATGTGGGAGGTGAAATCCCTAGTCTGCTTAAGTTACTATCATAAAAGAAAACTGTCCTCCCATAGAACGACCTTTGAGAAGAGAAAAAACACTGACATTGATAGGTAATTTCTTATGTTAGAAGCATAAAATCAAAGAACTTGAGACTTGAAAAAGAGGTTCTTTATCAGTATTTATATGTATGTGTGTATGATAACACACAATTCTAGCATAAACAATTTTCAGTAGATAACATTTGGGAATTTTTTTGTGCAAAATTTAGGATTGATCTCAAATGAACATAAACATTACTTATCACATGAAACTTTCAAGGCCTGCCAAATGTAAAATATTAAAAATGGCAGTTTCACATGGCAGAGAAGAAAAGAGGGTCCTAACCCAAGGGTCCTGCTTTCTCTACTGACTACAGTTGTGTGGTTTGGACAGTCACTTCACTTGTTGGGGTGTCAGTATCTTTATTTATAGGATGGGGATAATAACGGGTTGGACTAGATGGACATTAGAAGTCCATTCCAACTCTAAAATTCTGTGTGAAAGCCCTCTTGTACCTCTCTCATATGAATGTGGAAAGGGATCAAATGAAAATGTTACATGGGAAGAACCTGAAAACAACCAAGTACCATAATAAATGTAAGCCACTGATGTTATATGAATAGATTAGACATGTTAACCCAAAAGTTCTTGGAGATACGGTAACAAGAATCTTGAGTTTAAACAATTCAGTGATTCAGGAAATGAAAACTCCTTTACAGCTGGTACACACCAGTATATATATGACCAGGCAATTCCAAGGTATCAAAGAAGCAAAGGATCACACACTGAGGAGTGGGAATGGATCTGAAAGACCATCTAGTCAAACCTGCAAATTTTATAAAAGAAGAAACTGAGCCTCAAGAGAGGCGAATTGCTTTTTATCACACAGGCAAAGCATCAGGGGCATGATTTACTTTAACTACTATAAACACTGTGAGTTGTGACATCCACTCCCACTAGTAAGTGGGGATATAGAGGACATGGAAATTCAACATGTATCACAGTCCACCAGAACTATTAAAATAAAAAAAAAACTATCAAAAATCATTTGGCAAGATGGTATGAGTCAAATCTGACTTCTCATAATCTACTCCATACCTGAAAGCAGTAGGTAGGACCCAATTTATGGAAGTCTCTCTGGTTATCTTATATCTTACTGATAAATACTAATCAGCTAAAACCAAATGCACTTACTTGGGGCATGACTGGCATGAACACTGACAAATTAGCCTTTACAAAAATTTTATATAACAAACAGATGGTCATAATTTCCATCAGACACTCTGAAAAGTCTGTGTTGAAGCTGGAAGTATGGGTTTTTGTGTGTGTTTTTTGAAAATTCCAAGTCTATGCAATTTTTTTTCTTGTAATATATTTTAACACCTATTTAAAGTTCTTGGAAGAAACACGTCGAGAAGGTTAAAACATATTATCAACCAGATGCCCAAGTCAAAAATGTTCTAAACCAGTAGACAATGTGAAGAAAGAGAGAAACGCCGTTATCTCACCTTCGGTGATTCATCTCGGCATCACTGGCGGCATTTTTCCCTGGTCCCCAGCTGTGTCTCCGGAAAGGGGACAGAGAACGCATAGAGTTTCTCAGGACAGAGCAGTTTGGGGGCACTTCGGTGATGCTATCCATCTCTTCTTCTTCCATTTCACCTGAGCCAGCAGGTTCACTCTCACTTTCCTGTCCTTCAACTCCTACCGTGTGGCTATAGAACCCATCGAGGCTCTGCCGATCCTTGGTCCTGTTCAGGTTCCGAATTTGGGGAAGGGAGATGTCACTGCCATGGGAAGAGTGCCGGTCCAGGGAGGCTGTGTCATCTGTGGAAGAGCTGGACCCAGTGATATCACAGACTGATTGCTCCTCTTCAGGCTGTAGTGGAACAGAAAGTGTTAACAATTAAAAGCACAGCAGAATCTAGCAAACAACTTGGGGCAAAAACACTTAGACCACCCACTGGATGGCTCTCCAAAAAAAAAAAAAAAAAAAGCTCAATATAAAACTCCAGCAGTTTTTCCAAAGGCATTCATGGTCTTCGAGTGACCTAGATAACTCAACTCTACATCACAAATTCTTTGACTCATTCAATAAAACTATAGAATGCCAAAAAGACCAATAGGATGCTACAGTTTCCTTAAGGAGCTTAAAATCTAGTTGGAGAGAGGAGTCAAGCATACACATAAAGCAGAACAGGAGCAGTATACATGCATTATGCCATGGGAACATTGTGGAGGTAGAGGTTACTTTTGACTACAAAAGATCAGAAAAGACTTCATAAAAGAAGCAGCATTTGAGCTGGGTTAAGAAGAACACTGAGAGTTTTGATAGAGATTGGTCAGGGGGTGCACTGCAAGGATGCCGTCAAAGGTCTGAAGACTGGAAAAATAAAAACATATATTTGGGGTGGAAATCCAGTTTGTTTGAAATGATGAATGCATGAAGGAGAGTGATAGCCAGTAAGGCTGGAAGGGTGAACTGAAGCCAAAGCATGGAGGCCCTTGAATGCTTTCTTAATAAATTTAGAATTGATTCTGTAAAGAACAGAGAATCACTGAATATTTTTGAGAAGGGCTTCATTCAAAAATGGGCTGGAGGCATCAGCACTTCATTACAGTCTTCCAAACAGTTAACAATCTTTGGTTTAATAAGAATCAGATTCCACACCCTCAATCCAATTTCCTATTCATTTTTTTAATCTCTCTTACTAGATTATAAGTGATCTTCCACACTGTTTATGAACCCCTGAAACACAGCAGTTTTCATAGGTGATAATAAATGCTAAAAACAAGAGATTACAATTGTTTTTGCTTCTCCCGATCCTACACAAGGGGAAAAATCCCCTCCAACCATCAATAAAACTTTAGTTAAACATCTTTCAGCATCTTAAAGCCAACTAAAATCAAATAAAACCCTATGGAGTCTACACTGTACATATACTCTTGATGTATGCTATAATTTAGTTCTAATTTTCTTCATAAGCTTTAACTAGAAATTAAGAAGGTCCTTGTCTATAGAAAATGCACCAATGTTAATAACCCCAAAGAGATTCATTTTGTGGTTATGTTCCCAATGGTTATTATAAAAAAATGCAAAACCGTTTACGATAGCACCTGCAGTTTATGTTAAAGAAAGAAATGGTCCTTGTCCTAAAGGGAAATAGGAATAACTACTCCTTTTCCTCTCTTCCCTAAGGTGCTTTATTAAGTAAAACCATTACCCAGAGCCACTAGGCAAGTTAATGGATCTTTTGAGAAAGTAGCACTGAACTTCCACTGGCAGGCCACCTAGTGACAAATAGGAATTACACATTTTGAGGGCTATGATCTGACATGCTGAGCCAGCTGAAAGATACCAGAACCCGTAATTTGATGGGTGGGTGAATTCAAGAAGATAATGAAGATAAATGCTAATATTGTGACCACAAAGGCAATTATAAATATGGACACTGCCCAGAGTATACTAGTTTCTTCTTGCAAATTAAGTAAACAGGGAGAATGCCAGCTGGCACTTCTGTCCATCTTCAGAACAATTTGATATAAATGACAATCTAATCTCACTTTAGTCAATAGTACTAGATAACCTCTGAGTTCCCTCCCTTCAGCACTAAATCTATGATTCAGATTGTGAACAAATGTAATGCTAGGTAGATTCTCTTTTGAAAATTGATATTCTAAAAAATAAAATAAATATAGTAAATATATATAATATATAAAATATATAAATATACATAATAAAAATATATAATATAAAATAATATAAAAAAGTAATATGATAAAAATAAAATAAAAATAAAAACCTTCTAGAAAAAGGCAGTTTCACTAACTCAGATGAAAGTTTCTCCCTCTCAGCAAGTGTGACAAACTAAAAAAAGTACATTTCCCAGATTTCTTCAAACTGAACCTCTCAATCAGTTTCATGAAAATAGTAACTGACAACTCTTAAACAAGGAAAGGGAAGAAGATAAGATGGAATGATAATTGAGTAGGTGGCAATAAATAGCTGACAGTTACTAAGGGTCACTTTCAGTCTGATTCTAGTTATGATGTGAAATACAAACACACACACAATCTTCTTCCCATACTTGGGCTCGAGTTCATATTTTAAGATGGATTGGGTGGATATTCTTCCATTACCAGTTTTAATAACAAGGTATCCAAAAATATCTCTTACTAGTTTACTCTGGTTCCTGATACCAAACATCATCAAATTCACCTTCAAATTCAAAATCTCTCAACAGCTGACCTTAGAGGTGCTGTTCTTCTGCTCCCTACCATCTCCCTAGCAGTATCAAAATTAATCCAACATAATGACAATGCCTTGTATTTACGCAATAACTTTCTTCTTCAATCACTTAACCTCTCTGAGCCTCAGTTTCCGTAACTATAAATGGGGACATACAGGTGTGTACATATGCATACACATATATGGGTAGATACACATGTGTAACATACATGTATAATACCTGTAAATGTATGTACATATTTATACATACATGAATCTAAAATTCTATGTACATACAAATATAACATCAACCTGATATGGGTGTCATACAAATGAAATATGTGAATGATGTTTCACTAACCTTAAACTGCTCTGTGAGTATAGAATATTGTTATTATTGTTGTTGTTGTTAAGAAACTAAAAGAGCTTTAATCCTCCAATAATCCTACAACAACGTCACAAAGTTAGCCAGAAATAAAAATAATAACCAGATAATTTTTTTATGGTTAATTTCACACTTTCCCTCACCCCACATATCTAATCAGCTGCCAAACCTTGCTGTCTCTACCTTCATTAACATCTCTTTCATCTGACTCCTTCTCTCCACTCAGACACCTTCTCAACTGGACTATTGCAGCAGCCTCTTAATGGGTCTCCCTGCTTCAGGAGATCTTATACACTGCTATGGAAATGATTTTCCTTAAGCACGAATCTGACCATAGGTCTCCACTATTCAACCAACTCCAGTAGTTTCCGATTGGCTCTAGGAGAAACCTAGCCCCAACTTCTCTTTCCAGTTTCACTGGACAGTATTCCCCCTCCCACACTCCAAGATCTAGCCAAACTGGCCTTCTTTCTCTTCTTTCCTCACAATACTCCATTTCCCATTTCAGTTCATTCACAGTGGCTGGTCCTCCAAGACGAGAATACATTGCTTCCTTAACCACTGACTCATAGAGTCCCTCTTTTCCTTTAAGAATGACTTGGTAAGTCATTCCCCAACCGATAAATGGTCAAAGGATACGAACAGGTAGTTCTCAGATGAAAAAATTAAAGCCATCTATAGTCATATGAAAAACTGTACTGACTCAATATTGATTAAGAGAAATGCAAATCAAAACAACTCTGAGGTACCACATCACACCTATCAGATTGGCCCACATGACAAAACAGGTAAATGATAAATGTAGAAGAATATGTGTGAAAATTGGAACACTAATGCACTGATGGTGGAATTGTGAAATGATCCAACCATTTTGGAGAGTAATTCATAACTATGCTGAAAGGGCTATAAAAATATGCATACCCTTTGACCCAGTAATACCACTTCTAGGTCTTTATCCCAAAGAGATCATAAAAATGGGAAAAGGACCACATGTACAAAAATATTTATAGCAACTCTTTTTTGTGGTGGCAAAGAATTAGAAACTGAGGGGATGCCCATCAATTGGGGAATGGCTGAACAAGTTGTGGTATATGAATGTAATGAAATACTATTGTGCTATAAGAAATGATGAGCAGGTGGACTTCAGAAAAACCTGGAAAGACTGTATGGACTGATGCAGAGTGAAGTGAGGAAAAACCAGGAGAATGTTGTACACAGTAACAGCCACGTTGTGCGATAACTAACTCAGACAGACTTATGCCCTTCTCAGAAATGCAAAGATCTAATACATTTCCAAAAGTCTCATGATGGAAAATGCTACCCACATCCAAAGAAAGAACTATGGAATTTGAACGCAGATTGAAGCATATTATTTGCTATTTTTTTCTTCTGTTTTGTTTTGTTTCCTCTTTCTTGTGGTTCTTCCTATTGATTCTCATTCTTCCCTTACAACATGACTAATGTGAAAATATGTTTAATAGGAATGTATATGTATAGCCTACATCAGAATGTGTGCCATCTTTGGGAGGGAGGGGGAGAAAAATTAAAAACTCAAAAGCTTATGGAAGTGATTGCTGATAAATCAAATTAAATTAATAAAAAATTTTAAAAAAGAATGACTTGGTAAAGGCCTACATGGAAGGGAATGGAAATTCTATCAATAGCTTCTGCTATGAGGTCTCATTTTTAATTTTTATCCATTTATAAAAATTAGGTATGTTACTTACAAACCATTACCAATAAAATTAAAATGTTAGACTTTGGGATATCATTAATCCTTAAAAAAAGTAAAAATATCACAAAGTACAAATTAGTGAAATTCCAGTAAGATTTTCAAAATCTAAAACTGCCTGTTCATTTTTTGATAATATCACCCATCAAAAGATGGCAGAACCAATAAAAGGATCTGCTATTCAATTTTCATCAATAAGGAAGAACTAGTTGGTGGGGTAAAAAGAATGAGATCCTTGGGGTGAGATGTCCATTCAATGTTGTAAATTGTGATGGAAAGAAAAGGCAGGGATACCTCGATGTGAGATTTTTAGAAAAATGATTTTTTTTTTTAGCTAGGCAATGGGTTTAAGTGACTTGCCCATGGTTACACAGCTAGTGTGTGTTACGTGTCTGAGGCCGGATTTGAACTCAGGTCCTCCTGACTCCAGGGCCTCTATCCACTGCAACATCTAGCTGCCCCCCAGAAAACTGACTTTCAAAAAGATCAGTAGGATTCCATGGCCTGAAATTCGGCAGATGTCATCAGACATGA